TATATATATATAGCCACAACCACTTTGATCATTTAAAGATAGTTTGCCTATTCATTGTTCAATTCCAGTCCAGAAAGACATTAATTTCAAAAACTACAGCATTAAGTATTCCAGTCCCTCATCACTGGTGCACATTGCTGTATTGCTTGTTTACTTTATGTAGCACCGATTTAAATCAAAAGGCCTGAAGGTCACTGTACAACTTGCTTTAAAGTAATACTGTCCCTGAMTATCCAGATATATATGTAACATAATTCAAAATTCATTTTGTTTCTTAAGGAGGTGTTAATCTTGTTTTTATATGTGACATTCTGTGGCATGATTGCTGAACTACAACTTGGTCAATCTGATGTTGGCAGATGAATTCAGGATTCTGTTGGACATGCGRTGGAACAAACAGTACCTGGATGTTCTTGCAAGCAAGTGCAACTTTGAAAAACAAGAGCAATACTCAGAGATTCTGGAGGCTATGAATGCAGTAACCAACAGGTGAGAGGATTTCTGTTTTCTGTAAAAGATCACTTGGACCAGTTCAACACCGACCGATTTTCATACTAGATATCCTGTGCTCCGTGGCGTATGTTCTTTGTTTCTGTAAACAGGTTGTAATAAATGTACCAGATAAAGTCCTGTAATTGTTGCTTTGTGTGGTAGGATTGTTTTGATGATGCACAGAGAGGAGAAGGCAGTCCTCTGCTCTCATGCTGCCAACATGGCCGCCCCAGGCTCTGCTCTGAGAACAGCTGRAGCCTTCAGGAAAGGTAAGAACGTTTGTCCTCTAAGGTCCTGCATGCACTTGTATGTTTTTAAACCACAGTGATTTCCTCTACAGGCTCTGTGGACATCAGCCAGCTGCCACATCCAGTCCTCATGCACCTGCTGAGCCTCTTTGACATTTGGGATGCGTTTGTTCTACAAGCAGTGCAGACTGAAGACCCCCACATTACAGATCCCATCTTATATGAGGTCAGAACTTTGCTTCATCACACTGTATTAATACAGTGTGCATCTGTTAAACCTGCTCTGATGTTTGAAAGAAGCTGCAGTTCTCTTCATTGATCTTGTGTCTTATTGAGAACAGATGCTGCAGAAGCTTCAGTGGATGGATCGTTTCTGGAGRGTGAGCCGCACGCTGCCGGCTGACGCTCATGGTGTTTCTGTTCTCTCTCTGCACTGGCAGTGGGTGCAGAAACACGTCATCCTCAGGCTTCCTCAGCTTCTTCTGGGAGACCCTGGCATCACTTTAGAGTAAATACTTCTGTCAGGACTTCAGTTTTTATTATGAATAATACATACAGCGGGTAAAATAAGTATTGAACATGTCAACATTTTTCTCAGTAAATATATTACTAGAGG